CTGCATGGAGCTGAGAGGACTGTAGGGCTAACAACAGCTTGAGACACAATGTCCCCTCGCTGGAGCATACCACTACAGAGGACAATATGGGGGGCACACCGTGGGGAGTGAGCCCAGTCTGACCCACGAACACTGGGGTGAACCAAGAAAGGAGCATAACAGATCAGCACTGAAAGTAAAGCCACGAAGCCCCCGGCAGTCCCCAAAATAGACTTCAGGCTAGGAGGGGCAGGACCTGGAGCATCCCAGGACCAGTGGGGAGATAGTCATAAAGGTCAGCAGACAGATCTGGAATCATGTATGGATTTTTTTCTCTCTCTTTCAAAAAATTTTCCCCCTTTCATCTTTTTTATTTGTTTGTTTTGTCTTCATTCTTGTTGTTTTAGGCAGGAAGAGGGGGGGACTTTGGAGGAGAGGAGGCAGCAGGAAGGGAGGGGTGAGCAAACCAGGCCATGGACAGGGCAACAACTAGGAAATTAAAATCAATGTTCAGGGGCGTAAGGACCCTGGTGGTATTTGAGCAACAGTAATCTAGTGGAGAGGAAATACTGAGAGGCAAATGAAGGTGAGTGTGATAGTGGGGCAGGCAGAAGGTAAAAGGAAACAGAGGAAAGATCTTGGAAACAAAACCATTGATAGATGTAGAAACACAGTTTGGTATATATGTAAATATATTATTACATAAAAAACAGTTATTGGGCTATGTCCATATATTTATATAGCAAGATACTGAGGAAGTGGACGGACTTTTGGACTTTGCTCAAGCCCTCCCTCAATGGAAGAACATTTTTTTCTGTTAACCTGGCATTCTGTGATGTTCACCCTCTGGACATGATCGCTGAAGACAAAATGGGTGCATAAGCAAATGTGGTGAAGGAAGTTGTTGGTGCCCGGGTGTTAAAAGATATAGCATCTGTGGTCTTAAAGGCCTGAGGTTAACCAAGCAGCCATCTAGTAGAGAAGCAACAAGCCCATGTGGAAGAAGCACACCAGCCTTTGCAATCATGATGTGTCAACAGGATCGGGTAACAGGCATCAGAAGACCCAAGACAAACAAACAAAAAACCATATTGTTGTGAAAGAGGGAAGTCGGAGTGGAAAACCAAAGCCCATCTGTAGACAATTTGGCATCCTCTCACAGAAGGGTCCCAAAGAAGGGATGAGTCGGCCAGGGTGGGGTAAAGCACCGACGAAACACACAATATTCCTCTGGTTCCTCACGACCCCAGCTCTACCTGACAATTTGGCTGGACTTGATCGTGTACACTGGTACAGACAAGAGCTCTCAACAGACAGAATCCAGGACAGATAAACCCCTCACTAACAGAAATGGGAGTAGTGATACCCAGAAGGTAGAGGGAAAGTGGGGGGAGGAAAGGGGGACTGATCATAATGATCAATGTATAACACCCCCCACCCCCCCACCCCCAAAAGGAAAGAACAACAGAAATGTAAGTGAAGGGAGACAGCAGTCAGTGTAAGATAGAAAAATATTAATAATTTATATTTTATCAAGGGTTCATGAGAATGAGAGGGTGGGGGAAGGGAGTGAAAAAAGAGGAGGTAGTACCAAGGGTTCGAACAGAAAGAAAATGTTTGTAAAATGATGATGGCAACCTATGTACAAATGTGCTTGATGCAATTGATGTATGGGTTTTTATAAGAGTTGTAAGAGATGATTTAAAAATTAAAAAAAAATTTTAACTGTCAATTTTTTTAATGTCAAAAAGATACCTGTCATGGATTGAATTATGCTGCCCCACCCCAGCCCACCCCTGGATATAGGTTAACTTGGCTAGGCAATGATTCTCAGTGACTTGGCAGTTACATAGATGTGTATTTTAGAAGTTATACAATAATAATAATCTTCCAGCTGATACGAAGGGCTCAAGTAGAAAGAGAATGTTTTGAGAATGAAGACGGCAACAAACATTCAAATGTGCTTGACACAATGGCTGGATGGATGGACAATGACAAGATGAGCCCCTAATAAATGATGAAAAGACAAAGACGCGCATGTGAGGGGTTTAAGTCAGGACACATGAAGGAGCTGATTTGATGAAACGGCCGGTACAACTACACAGAATGCATTTTTCTTTAAAAGACAAAATAAATACAATTAAAATTGAAAATCATCTTCCATGATGTGATCTGATGTGATCAGTGAATCACTTAGAAGGGGAAGTGGATGAGATGACTAACGGAACATCCCTGAATTGGGAGAAGGGGGTTTTCCCTGGAATGTGACCTGCATCACCTTTTATTTTCTTCAAGAGATAAAAGGAGAGAGAAGTGGACGAGGAGGAGGGATCTGACTCCCACCAAGAAAGAAAAGCCGGAGCAGCGCACATCTTTTGGACCCAGGGTTCCTGCGCTGGGAACCTCCGAGTCCCAGGGGAAGTTTGAGTGAAGACTCATGGAGCTTCCCAAGAGCACAGGGTCCTTTGACAGGAATGGGCACGAGGACCTGCCCTTAGAGCTGACACTGAAATCCTGCCCCTGGAGGGGACCTTTTCTAGCCTGTGTAGTGTTTACAAGTTGGGCTGTGATCATCATGGTCAGCGGTTCAAAACCACCTATAGTTCTGCCCAGAGAAAGACTGGGCTTTCTACTCTTGTAGTAAACACCGTACCAGTTACAGTTTCAGAAACCCACAGGGTGGTTGCAGCAAGTCAGCATTGACCCAATGACCGTGAATTTGGGTTTTGGAACTTGAGAAGACACCTCGTGGTCTAGTGGTTCCATATTGGGCTGCTAACTACAGTCAGCAGATCAAAACCACTAGCTCGGAAGGAGAAAGAGGGCTCTCTGCTTCCATTAACAGTTACAGCCTCAGAAACTCACAGGGGCAGTTCTACCCTGTCCTATAGGGTCACGATGAGTCAGCATAGAAGCAATGGTGGTAAGTTTGATTAGTTTTAGTTTTTGTTTGTTTGTTTTTTAACTCTTGGAGAATCAATTGCTATTTGCTATGCCATCCACTTGTGGTATTTCTTTGTAACAGAATTAGATAACTCCGACATTGGTATAAAAAAGGAAGGTAGGAAGGAACCCCTGAACATATAAAAGAATTAAACAGAGATCTTTTTAGGCTTTGTTTGTTAGAAGATGCCTGCTCCCTATGATGGTAAGCTAAGTTAGTAATATTAGCAGCTGATATTTACTGAGAATTAACTGCCTACTAGGCACTTGGAATCACATGGATGAAGATAATTCAATTCTGGTCATGAGTATCTGTTTCAGTCTGGATAGAGTAGAGAAATGAATCCAGGGAGATTCATATGTGTATAAGAAAGAGCTTTATACACAACAGCAATTGAATATTGAGAAAACATCCCAGCCCAGTCCAGATCAAGTCCATAAGTCCGATATTAGCCCATATGTCCGATACCAATCTATAAAGTCCTCTTCAGACTCGGGAAACACATGCAATAATGCTGAATACAGGACAATCACAGGCCAGTGAGTGGAAAGTCTTGTGGATCCAGTGGCAGTGTAAGCATCTCAGCGCTGGCAGGGATCTCCACGTGGCTCCTCCAGCTCAGGGCTCTGGCTGTCATCAGCCTGTCTCCATGTGGCTTGTTGTCGACAAGAATGTCTGGCACGGACTGAGTGTGTGTCCCGCCTCCAACAAGCTATTTATCTCCTTAGCGCCTCCAAATGAGGTCATCACCCTGTGACCTGATTGACAAGCCAAACTCGTAAGTCTCAAATTGACAACAGATTATGCAACTACCACAGCATCCGAAGACAGGACCTCTGTGTATGACTCTTCAGGCTATGCACTGCTCAAAGGGCCGCATCTAAGGGAGGTGTCATCCCCATTGTAGATACATTCTAATTTATATGAGAGGGTGGGTGTGGGTGCAAAAGGCTGGAGCTCTTGCCCATATCCTGCAAAGGTAGCACACATATCTGCTACTTACTTACTAAGCACACTTAGGTGCATACCCGCATGCACAAGACTCCCCTGTCCTGACCACACTCCAAACATGGCATCCCTCCTCTTTCTCTTCTATGGGGCTCAGGGACCTCGTTCCTTTTCCCAGTGGGGCTATTGAGAATACACGTTGCCACCTGTGCTTATTCAAATTGTGCAGCCATCAACCAAATTAATGATTTTGTTTGTTTGTTTCTTAAGGGAAAGCTGCTCTTTCTAATTGACCCAACCATGCCAGACTGTCTATCAGGGATCCTAGTAAGGCTCCTGGGCTCATGTTCCTGCCTGTCCCTTGTGCCCCTTGGTTGGTTGCCTGTTTGGGCTGTGCCCACCATTTTACCGTCAGTTTAAAACTAAGGGAGATGAGAGAGTCCCATCTTTTACAAGGAAAAGATATTATAAAATATTCCCAAGGGAAATATTGGGGTATTTTTCAACTCTGTCATCCTTTGTTCATGCCCTCTTTCCATGAACATCATTACTTGGTGGCACTGTGCTTTGTACAAGGCAAGAATGAATCACTGACCATTTGTGCAGCAGCCTTTCCATGGAAGCTGAAGGGCCAGGCCAGCTGGCGGGCACCCATCATTGGTCAGACAGCAGGGGAATTCCTCTTCTGAATTTTGAACTTTCCGTGCTTTTCTGCCCAAGTCATTACATCCCTTGTCTGGGAGATACTGAAGGGCTGGTGAAGTTGGGACATCCCTGAAAAGTCTTGAACTCTGGAACGGAGAGGGAACGGAGGTGGAGGAATGTGACCGTATGCGTGTCTTTTAAGCCATCTCACCCCACCCCTGGAAATGCTCTGCTAAAAATAAGCGACAGTAAGAACAATAAGGGGCCTGGACTAGCTCCCTCTTATAGGCCATAGAAAAGCAAAGCCAAAGAAGTGACTTGCTGAGAGTCACAGAGAGGTGAGTGGCAGAGTGATGCCCTCTACCCAGATCCTCTACCACTAATCAAGAAGGACCGTTTCTTTCCCATATCCCACCGTGCTTTCTCCATGTCAAGATTCAAAGAAGACATCCAAACACCAGCAAGTCAAGATCAAAAGAACGAGATGGGAGAAACCCCAACCAAGCCCGAAGAACAGAAGGTGAGATGAGCCTTTCACCCTGAAGGTTGGGATCTTGTCTCCCCCTGGTTGGGTGGTGGGCAGCGACACCTGACCAGCATGCACGCATGGTGTCTTCTCAAGGCAGACTGGGCTCTCTTCATGAAGCCACGCAAGGTTTGGGGAGAGCACAGCTTCTCCCTCTACCTGCCTGTTCTTCTGTTCACCCCTCCCCTCCCTTCCCATCAAAGTGCATGTTTCCTTAGAGAGCTCAGGGTGACTTAAAACCAATAAAGGTAGAATTGGGAGGGAGCTTGGATAGCATAGATTCAAGATCTATATTTTCTAGTGCAGAGCAAAGCTGCACACTGCACAAGGTCTCTCGGCAGATCAGCTGGAGAAAGAAGACCCCCTGAGTCCTGGTTCTGTGTCCTTTTCGCTACCTCACACTCCATCTTCCTCTCTGGTCTACTGTTCGGTGGGGCTCCAAGGGACAGTCAGGCTCTGGGAAGTCCTGTACCCGCTTGTGCAGAGCATAAGGCAGATGCCCTTTCTAGCAAGACCAGAAGGCCAAGAGAGCCCCCGGTGCCTCCCGCGTCTGGAAATGCTGTGCACTGCCACAGAGACCTTGAGCCCCAGCTGCTGAGTTGGGGCTCTCAATCTTCTGGGGAAAGGTTATCTGAAGGTCTCTGGTAAGGAGGGGACTGGATGAATTGCAGTTGAATGTTATCATTCCAGCTTCCAATCAAACCCTTCCAATCAAAAGTTCTGAAGACTTTTAATCTCACACTGTGTTTCCTCATTGCCCCGCTGAGGTGGCATTTGCTAATGAAGTTGGGATTACTGCACCATTGGACTTCAGAGGAACTGGGTGGTGTGGTGCCCATACTTTGTCCCCAACATGTGCTGTGTCAGTACTTGCTAATACAGACCAAAAAAACCCACAAAAAACAAAGTAGCCTAGAGGGAAGCTGGGTGCCAACCACATCCTTAGCCTGGACTCAGAAGCAAACTGAGCAGGCAGGCAAACCCAACACAGGAGGGGACACGAAGGAATCTGAGGAGGCTTTCAGTGGCAAGGCAGTGGGGTGGGGGGTGGGGGGCTTGCAAAGGGAAGGCACATAAAGAAGTATGAAGAGCCAGTAGGATTTCCTAATCTGACTGTTCAGGTATCTAACTGCAAAGAGCTTCAAAGGCCTTATGGGGAGACATGGGTAAAGCCAAGCAGAGGTGGGCAACTTTGATTGTTACACCAACCCATGGGCTCATCACTTTTCTCTCACCCTCTCCCTCTCTTCACTTACCCTGGTTCACCTCCCAAATCTTTGTCTTCTGGTCATCCTTCACTTACCACTTATGCCCCCTTTCCTTTATTTCCTTTTTGGGTTCTGAAACCTACTGCTTATGCTCCAGGCTGGTCAGTAACCTGTGTGGCCAGAACGAGGTGAGCAGGGAGGGCAGCCCTTCCGTTAGCTCAAATCTTTGACCATCACCTCTGCTCTTAACATGAACAAAAGCAAAACAGAACAAAACCCCAAGTTGTCTGCATTGACTCCAATGCATGTGCACCCCATGGGCGTCAGAGTAGAATAGGGTTTTCAGGGGCTGATTTTTTTCAGAATAAGTAGCCAGCCTCTTCTGAGGGACCTTGGAATACACTTGAACTTTAAATCTTTTGGTTATCAGCTGAGATGTTAACCCTTAACATTAAGAACTCTAGTCCTTGATGTTAGTGTTAATATGTAGAGTCACTCACTCACTCATTGTCAATGAGTCAATGATAACCCATAGCAACCCTACAGCACAGAGTAGAACTGCCCCTGTGGGTTTCTGAGCCTGTACCTCTTTATAGGAATAGAAACCCCATCTTTCTCCTGCAGAGAAGATGGTGGTTTCAAATGTCGCACCTTGCAGTTAACAGCCCAACATGTAACCACGACGCGACCAATGCTCCCTTTTAATAGGTAGAGTCTAAAGGAGATACCATGCCTACATGGATAAATTTTGTTTGCTTCAGTTTTCCCTCTTTCTCTTAATTTATAGATTCCAGGATCTGTAATCAGAGTTTAGAGTAAAAAAGAGACTCCAATCTTTTTTTTTAAATTGTTCTATTAGGGGCTCATACAACTTTATCACAATCCATACATATATCAATTGTGTAAAGTACATTTGTACACTCATTGCCCTCATCATTCTCAAAACATTTGCTCTCCACCTAA